TTGATTACTCAGAAGCCTTAGCGAACGAAGAGAAGAGGAGTACGAAGTCATGCTAATATCGTAAGTACCTTAGGCTATCGGGGAAGCGAAAGACACGATGGCCCAACTCGCATTTGATTACTTTGACCTTACTAGCAATACTAATGGACCACTAGGGCCCAATAGCACATAAAAGCCATTAAAAGTCATTTTATATGGAATTGGGCCATAGGAGGCCCAATAACACATAAGCGTTATCCCTTTGGGCCCAAAGATCATGTTAATGGACTTGCTAGGTCCAACAAGCATGATTTGAAACTTTCAATCCTAAAGTTTGAATAATTACCCATCTTAGGTATCGCATATGTATTGGAGGGTTCGATTTAACGGTTGTTGTTTTTATATCGATTCGAGACCGATCGATTCGTTTATAACGATATTTGGAGTTAAACGTGTATTCGTATTTCGATTTTTCGTAACTCGTGGTTTTGTATTTGACTTAATGAAATAATTTGCTTAAAACAGTGGTTGACCTTTTCAACACCTTCCTTTTTATAAAAATAACAGTTTTAGTCCTTTTATATAAAAGAAAAGACATTTTTAGCCCTTAAAATATTTTCTTGAGACTTTTGCATCATAGACTTGTTGAAATGATAGTTTTAACTCAAAACTTATTTTGTTAACAGTTTCACCCCTTTCAGAATAGTATTTTTAGATGTAAAACCCAACTTTTTGCAATTTTTACAGTTTTGGCCCAAAATCCAAAAACTTTACATTTTTTATCCTTTTTGGAAATGAAAAGCATTTTTGACTCTTGAAATAGTTTTGTTACACTTTTTATCCCTTGTTTTGAAGAAAGTTCATTTCATCCCCTTTAATTGTCCTTTTTTTTCGCAATTTTGGTCTTATTGGGCCGAAAAGCCCAAAATTAGCCCATTAAGCTAAAAATTTACATTTCATGTCCTTTGAAATTTTTAATGTTCATAAAAACAATTATTTTAATTGTTTTGACTCTTTAACCCTTAATAAATCGTGATTTGGCAACTTTTAAACCAAATTTTGTATATTTGACAATTTAAGCCCAAAAATGTGTTTTATGTTGAAGTATGTTTAACACAATCTTATAAGTTATTATTCTTGACTTGTTTGGTGTAAATAACTTAGATCATGTTTTTTTTACTTTCCCATGTCATAGATCTCGAGTTAACACCCCTTTTTAGTTACATGTTCATCACAAAAACATATAAAATCATACATACATGCATAAAATCGCACATAGCATACACATACACATAGATCTACACATTTTCTTGTATTCTCCCCCATAAAACATATGAAAACCGAAAATAGAGGGGTATGAAGCTCACCTTGAGTTGTGGGTTCGGTTTTTGAAGAGAGAAATGAAGAAGATTCGATCCTAGCAAGTCTTTCTTGAAAGATTTTGACTTAGATGTGTTCTAAGATGCAAGATCACGAGTTTGATTAGATCTAGAAGAGATTTTTGATGAAATGAAGTAGGTAGATCATGGATTAAACATCAACTTACCTTAGATGATGAGTTTTGTGGTTTGATTTCCTTGAAAAGCCTCCTAAATTTCGAGAATCTGATGAAGGATGAAGGGAGTTTCTTTGAGAGAGTTTGAGTGAAATGTGTGTGTTTGTGTTGTTTCAGCCGAGAGAAAAAGAGAGAGGAAGAGATAGATCTTGATGGGATGTTTGCATGGAGATATGAGATGAATGCATGGAGATCCAAGGGGAAAATGTGAGGTGGCAATGCTAAAGTCAACCCTTTCTCTCTTGGGTTGTTGGGCCAAGAAAGGAGAGGGGAAAAGGAATAAAATTGGGCTTTTTGCCCTTAGGCCCATCTTGTGCTTTACTTAGATGATTATTGGCCCAACTAAACCAAAGCATGATTTTTTATGACCCATTAGGACTAATGTAAATTGGTTGTGACCCAATAAGGCCCAAAACATTAAGTTTCATGTATATGGGTCCAATTTGGGCCCATTTAAGAGTTCTAAGCCCAAAATAGTCAAATTGGAAGCTTATGGGTCCATTAGGCCCAATAAAGGAATCCTAGTACAAAATGGACTTAAACCGGGATTTCAAGGGTTTCCAATTCTTTATTAACTATTTGTAGTGCTTGAATGAAGTGTTTGATGAAGTTTTGTTGTTACTGAATAAGCATCATACATGCTTTCACATTGTTGGTTCACAATTGGTATAATTGTTGTAGTTACAAAGCATCAAAATTTCTAGTTGTGACATATGTTCACCAAAGTGGTTACCACTGAGAAGTTGAAGCTTTGTATGACTTTGACTGAACTTTCAAAAGTTTGAGGAAAAGAGCATGTTAGGAAATGAGAGAGAGAGAGAGAGAGAGAGAGAAAGAGAGAGAGAGAGAGAGAGAGAAAGAAAGAGATAATGATTAAGGAATGTTGCAATGGTTGGATGGTATAGAAAGACTAAGTTGTCCAAGCCTCCAAGTAGGGGATTGTTAAGATTTGTAGAGTCATGATAAGTTTCCCATAGTTCAAGGACCATAAGTGTAACTTGGCATGTTTGGTGGAATAGGAAATGACTTCAAAGTCAATTTACAGGGCCTTCTTGGCACGCATTTGCGCGTTGTCTGAGCGTTTTACGACACGCATTGCGCGTTGTAAAAGGCTGTTTTTCTAGTAGTGCAAGTTGGAGAATATACATTTACACTAGTAAATGTGAAGCCTTGCAATCAAAAGTCAAACAAAATGACAATGTATGCATTTGATCTTACGGTGCATTAAATGCATGGTCAAAATTTGAGGCACTTTTTGTTTCTTGTAAGCTAAAATTCGGTAGTGTGCGGTTAAGAATGTGAAGGAGGTTTTTGGTTGGCAAACTATTCAAAAAGTTCAAAAGGTGGCTTCATCATTTTCACATGTATGTGAATGAAACTCAAACTTACGGCTCCAACACATATAAATATGTATTTGTCGTAAGTAGAATGTGTGCAACACAAAGAGCATAGATACACATGTAAGAAAAGTGAGATAGTTTCTATTTTTTGCACAGAGCCTTATTTTTGATAGCCAAAAATACGAATGATACTTTAAAGCGAGTGATCAGAATATAAGTGGATTTTAGCAATGTATGATTGTAATTTTCTTTGGTGTTAATAAAATCTTCTCTCGCTCGTTCGTCGGTGGATGTAGGTCAGATTACACCGAACCACGTTATATATTGTGTTTAGTTTCGTTTGTAATTTTTCAGTAGTTTTATTTCGTGAGTGTTACCAAAATTGTTAATCGTTTTGTCAGAAATGCTTAACTTGTTTTGTTATATTCCCAACAATGACAACTAATTAACGATTATTTTTCACAAAAAATCTTCAAACTACTCAACATAAAGATGTTGTTTCCTAGCTGCATGTTATTACATTCCCTCTAGCTTGAATGATGTGTTAGTTTTCACAAAAATAATCATTATTTTAGTTAGTTGTTGGAAGTTTAATGAAATGATAGTTCGATCATTCTACGTAATATTCTATTAGAGAGTTGGATAGATGTCATTGATATATATATATATATATATATATATATATATATATATATATATATATATATATATATATATATATATATATATATATTCTTGTTTGATATGAATACACACAAGAATCTTCTTCAATCTCTCTTAAAATTTTAAATCTAGCAAGGCATGATAATTCTTATACAATACGGACACGACCCTTTTCACTATACATGTTATGAGTTGGAGGGTTTGGAACCTCAATCCGAACACGACCCGTCAACCGACTTATTTATATGGGTTTGTGGGTTGCGGGTCAAATTTCAAATTCGCATATTAGATTTGTAGGTTGTAGGTCAGATTCAAGTTTATGAGTTCGTAGGTCATATACAAACATGAGCTAAATACGAGTATTATACCCAAGTCGGTAAATATATGGTTTTATCTAAATATATCAAAGGTGGGTTTATTAATCAAACAAGTGTTTTCCATTGTCTTACACAAAGAAGAAGCCTTTCTTTTATCAAGATTTACAACCACAATCTTCTTTCTGTCTAATAAAATTCTCATTATTTTTTGTATTCTAAGACTCAATAAATATGTACACTTAAAACCATATTCAAAATATACAACGACTAACAAAACAATATAATTCCTCATATCTTTTTGCAAATATATATGTAGTATAAAAAAAACACACACAATTAAGGTTATCAAGGGCAAATAAATAAATAAATAATGCTTTCCTATGTCAACAGTAAGCATAGACGACAAAGAGTAATATCCATTCATCTCAAATGCACAATACAAGCACATCACGTGCACTATTAGTATGTCTTTAAAATATAAACGGGCCACGAGTCAATCCGCAGTTTTAATGCAAACCTGTATTACGACCCATTTTAAATTCGACCCATTTAATACTCGACCCATTTTATAAGATGCTCCTTCTTGTTGGGTTGACTAGAACCTTCTTAAAAACTACTTTTGGCGTTTACCACTACAACTTCTTCACATATCCTTCAATGAGTGCAAATTTGAGATGGATTTATCACAAGGATAATAACTTAAAATGGGAATATATTTTTTGATTTGTACACATTTGGTCATTGAGTTTTTTCGTTCATATTTAGCCCTTTAACTTGTTAAACTGTACACATCCAGTCCGTATGATCGGTTACTCCAGGTTATCCGGAAAAAATGACTTATTATGGTAATATGTTTCTCATTTTGTACACATTTAGTCATTAATATTTTTGTACACATTTAGTCCTTAATATTTTTTTTGTTTCAAAATAAGTTATTTTTTGTTTTTGTACAAATTCAGTACTATTGAATGATTTATTTAGGGTTTTTCTCACGACATCTAACATGTGACTATCATTGATGACAGGAACGGTTCTCTTTGGGTGTCCGCATTGGCACTGACAACCCCTGCTTGTTCTGTACGCAGTGTAAATTTTTCGATATTTTTCGGTTTTTTTCTACTTACCGGCAACACCTACTACCAAATCATGCATCCGTCCCTGATTGATGAGGTGTTTGGGTTGTTGATGCTTATGTTCATCGCGGCATCGACTGCTTGGTTGCATAGGTCTTGTGGTTTGGCTTAGGTTTTATATTCCGAACGCCGTAACTTCTTATACGATATCTGATTTTAACGATCTTTATATCTACGTGTTCGTTTTTAAGTCTTCAACTTTTGTTAAGATTACTTCTGTTAAAATATAATATGTTTTTACTTACGATTTTATAAAAAAACATCCATATATGCATTCATAAAAAACGTATGGATATAAAGACCGTAATTAAAAAATATATTATTTTTTAACGAGAGTAATCTAAATGAAAGTTGTAGTAGAGTAAAATACAAACGCAAAGATATAAAGATCTTTAAAATCCGAGATAGTATGAAAAAGTTATGACGTTCAAAATACATGACCTAAACAATCAAGTAGTCGAGATCACGATTGACATAAACATCAAAAAACTAAAACACCTCGTTAATGATTGTTCCATTCAAAATGTTGTGAGAAAAACTTAAAGAAAACATTCATAAGTATTGAATGAGTACAAAAACAAAAATAAATTATTTTGCAACAAAAAAAAAAGTTAAGAACTAAATGTGTACAAAAATATTAAGGACTAAATGTGTACAAAATGAGAAATATATTACCCTAGTAAGACATTTTTACCGGTTAACCTGAAATAACTGGTAATAAGGACTCAATGTATACAATTTAATAAGTTGAAAATGTAAATATAAACAAAAAATAAATTCAGTGATCAAATGTGTACAAATCAAATAATATATTACGTTTTTAAGTTATTATCCCTTTATCCCAATTATTAATGTCATTGTATTTTCCTTAGAAACAATAATAAAACTGATGGTTTTTTTCCTTAAAAACAATAATAAAACTGTGAGAAATATATGGATTAATTTGGTTTACATTTTATCTTTAACATATCAAATATCCAACTAACAAACTTAAATAAAATGCACTTAAACCGGCTACATCCATATAGACTCAATTGCATTAAATTAAAGGATCATTTATTTGTAGAGTCCAACCTGAATCCTACCCTATCGTTAACCATAATTTTGGACTACTGTTCATAAATGTACAAGAAACGATACACATAGTACAAACCACACATCATGAGACATGAGTCATGATGACTCTTTACGCCTAATAGACCAGAGCCATGTAAGCCTACTACTACCAAATAACGTCAAGAACTTCCTGTTTTAATTTGGGCTCTTCTTTCTTCTTCGATCATCGCTGGCGTCTTTGACACCCCCATCCCCATAATTTCCACTTCACTGATCCGATCACTGGAATTAAACTACAGGTATGTCTATCAGCATAGGTTTCATCTCATTATTCTAGATCTTTTTCGAATTTGTGTTCAACTTTCGATAACGGCTCATCAATTCGCTTCTATATGAAGTTCTGTTTATGGGTTTTCGTTGTTGTTGATTGTTGATCTGTAAAAACTGGATCTTTTATCAGATTTAGTACGAAATTGTGCGAATTTTGATTGTATATAGTGTTTTTAGGGATCGTTTGAATGGCGACTCCCGGTGGACCTAGACCAGGTAATCTCCCACCGAATTATAACCCTAATTCAATCGCCGATAATATGCAGAACCTTCAACTTAATCGCCCTAATCAGCCACCTAACCTAGGCAATGGACCGAGAGGTCCACCTCCACCGTTTGGGCAACAACCCCCACCCCAATCCCAATCTCAGCCCTTTCCGTCGCCATTTTCTAGACCTAATCGTCCAGGACCTCCACCACCGGGTGTTGTTCCTAGAGGTGTAATGCCTCCATCTACTGGACCTCCACCTGGTACATTACCTCCTTTCATGGCTGCCAACCGAGGTCCACCTGGAGCTAATCCACCACCACCATCATCTGCTTCAAGACCGATGCCCTCTGGACCTTTTTCATCCTCCCCTTTGACAACCGGACCACCTTCACTCCCGCCAAACGCCGGTGTTCCTCCCATGAACAACGGGCCGCCAACTCAAGGTGGCCCTCAATATCCTCCCGCCATCAGCATGAGACCAAGACCATCAACCGGACCACCACCCATGCCACAAACCATGTCATCATCATCTTCAGTAGGCCAACCCTTACATTCATTTCTTGGAGGCCCTGATAATCAACCACCACGAGGACCACCACCATTTTCAGCACCTCCAAGAGGCATGCAGATGCAACCACCCTCTTCAGGACCTCCAACATTTTCAGCTCCACCACAAAATCCTCCATATGGAGCTCAACCATGGCAAATGCAATCCCGACAAGTAAGTTTCTTTTTTTTATAAATCTCTTTCATAACATGTATCATGATTCTTGATTCATGATTGATGATCTGTTACTTGATAAATGTTTGTAGAATGCAGCACCACCTCCATTAATGTCACCTCCCTCACTGTCACCTGGATCTGTTCAACCACCAAGAATGTTTGGGATGCCACCACCACTTCATAATCAACAATCAATGGCTACAATATCACCTGCAATGGGCCCAAGTGGAAATGTGGTTTCAGGCCCATCAAAGATTGACCCAAACCAAATCCCACGCCCTGTTCCAACTTCATCTGTTCTTCTTCATGAAACTCGCCAAGGCAACCAGGCAAATCCCCCTCCGGTATTCTAAACTTATCATTTATCATTTATCTTAACTTTTCTAAATCTCATATTCATATATATTATTATATATGTTGTGTGATATTGAAGCCTGCTACAAGTGAGTTTATTGTAAGAGACACTGGAAATTGCAGTCCTAGGTACATGAGGTGCACCATTAATCAGGTGATACTTTTCATCTACTTTTCTTGTGAAATGTTTATTGATTACTTGAATTGTAACATTCATTTTTGTTGTTGTTTGTTTAGATTCCTTGCACTTCAGATCTTTTAAACACATCTGGCATGCAATTGGCTTTATTGGTTCAGCCATTAGCTCTTCCACATCCATCCGAGGAGCCTATCCAAGTAAGACTGGAAATTGGAAAAATACTTGTTTTCTTGAAATTTGTGAAATTGAAATATCAATATACTGAAAAAAAAAGAAAAATGTGTGAATTATTTTCCAGATAGTGGATTTTGGTGAAGGTGGACCTGTTCGTTGTTCTCGTTGCAAAGGCTACATCAATCCATTCATGAAATTTGTTGATCAGGGAAGACGTTTCATCTGTAACTTTTGTGGTGAGTATTTACTTTTCATATCTCTTGATTGTTATAACTTATAAATAATAAAAAAATATATATGTTTTTTTTATTTTTTCAGGCTTCACGGATGAAACTCCACGTGACTATCAGTGCAATCTTGGGCCAGATGGCAGGAGAAGAGATGCAGATGAAAGGCCTGAGCTTTGTAGAGGAACAGTTGAATTTGTTGCCACAAGGGAATTTCTGGTGAGCTTTTTAGTTTGTTATCCATTAAACACATCAAGTAAAATAAGAAACAGAAAAATTATATTATTGTATTATTATTATTATTCATAGGTACGTGATCCAATGCCAGCTGTATTCTTCTTCCTGATTGATGTATCAATGAACGCCTTGCAAACTGGTGCAACTGCAGGAGCTTGTAGTGCTATTAGCCGAGTTATTGCTGATCTTCCAGTGAGTTTAATATATATAAAAAATATAAAATTATTACTAAAGTTTGTATAAAGTTAATGATTTGTTTATAAAATGATTGTTACAGGAGAGTCCTCAAACAATGGTGGGAATTGCTACATTTGATGTGACTATACATTTTTACAATCTGAAACGTGCATTGCAGCAGGTGAAACCATAAATAATCACAGATGATTATTATATAACATTTTTTTTAAAAAAGGAAAAAAGAAAAAAGTTTGTGCTTAATCTTTAGACATGTTGTTGTTTGCAGCCATTAATGCTCATAGTTCCTGATATAGAAGATGTTTACACTCCTCTTGAAACTGATGTTATTGTTCAGCTTTCAGAGGTAAAGTTCTCTACTTGTTATTTAGTTTAAATTTAAATATTGTGTTTCAAAGTTATTATTATTATTTATTAATATATTATTATTATTGTTGTTATCATTAAAGTGTCGTCAACATCTGGAATTGTTGCTGGAAAGCATTCCAACTATGTTTCAGAATAATAAAACAGCTGATTCAGCTTTTGGTGCTGGGATGAAGGTGCTAAATTTTCATTTTGATTATATAAAAAAAATAATTGAAATTCAAAATTCAAAATTATATATCCAAATAATTGAATTTTTTTTTTTTTTTTCTACTCAGGCTGCTTTTCTGGCAATGAAGAGTACAGGAGGCAAACTTTTGGTATTTCAATCAGGCAAGTTTAGAATCGTTTTATATTTGGAGATTCGAGGGCAGAAACGTAATTTTGGCAGTTTTTTGTTATTTTATAGTCTTGCCTTCTGCTGGTATTGCTGCTCTTTCTGCTAGAGAGGCTGAAGGAAGAACTAATATCTCTGCAGGAGAGAAGGTATTTTGTTTACAGAATATTTGAGAAAGCAATTTCATATTTAGGGAAAAAGAAGGAAAAAATAATTTGTAAAAAGTATCCTTTTTCTGTTAAGTATTAAGTCAGAAAGAAACATCTAGTGGCTTAATGGGATTAAATGATACAAAATTCATTAATTTTATGTTGTTGAAATGCAGGAACCTCATAGATTACTTCAACCAGTAGACAATACTATGAAGACAATGGCTATTGAATTTGCAGAATACCAGGTGAAGAAGCTTTTTTTATAACTTACAATCCTTTCTTTTTAATTAATTGATTAAAATATTTTACCAATTTAAATGAATATTATTTTCAGGTCTCTGTTGATGTATTCATTACTACTCAAAGTTATGTTGACATTGCTTCAATCTCTGTTATCCCAAAGACAACTGGAGGCCAGGTAAGTCAATCATCAAACACTCTGTGTCACTTTTCTTGATGTTTTCAAAATTTTATATTTATAAATTTCACATTTTTTTTTTCTTCAGTTATATTATTATCATCCATTTTCTGCCCTTTCTGATCCTGCAAAACTCTACAATGATCTTCGATGGAATGTCACAAGGCCACAAGGTTTTGAAGCTGTGATGCGTGTTAGATGCAGTCAGGTGACACCTTAAGCTTACTGGAGGGCATTTCCGTCTTTTTGCTTTGTTTATTTATTTTTGTTCTGTAGGGACTTCAAGTACAAGAATACTCAGGAAACTTCTGTAAACGCATTCCTACAGATGTTGACTTACCTGCGGTTTTACACTATTCTCTAAACTTAAACCTACATACATGATACATATATGTATATATGTTCTTCATTCTTGTTAAATTTTGAATTGAAAAAATGATATTTTTCAGGTTGATTGTGACAAATCTCTAATGGTAACTTTGAAACATGATGATAAATTAACCGATGGAACAGAATGTTCTTTCCAGGTATATATATACTTTAAGCATTGGGTCCTTTCTTTCAAATTAGGGTTAAAATGAAAGCTTTTTATTAATTATAGCTCCTTAATGTCTTACATTGGTATTTTATCCAGTGTGCACTTCTTTATACTACTGTATATGGGCAAAGAAGAATACGAGTGTCCACCTTATCCTTACCATGCACCACCATGCTTAGCAATCTTTTTCGTTCAGCTGATCTAGACACTCAATTTTCTTGTTTTCTAAAGCAAGGTAAACTAATAACAGATTCTTTATTAATTTCCTTTTTTCTATTTTCATATCAGTAAATACTAGATACTCAAAAAGCTCCAACTGTGTTGATATTTTTCAGCTGCAAATGAAATCCCAATTACGCCCTTATTACAAGTGAGGGATCGAGTCACAGATCTTAGTATCAACATTCTTCATTCTTACAGGAAATTTTGTGCAACTGTTTCATCATCTGGACAACTCATTCTTCCTGAGGCTCTCAAGTTGTTGCCTTTATACACTCTCGGTATGTTTATAGCATTCTACTTTCATTTCAGAATGAAATATAATCATATAGTAAATAGATGAATGAGAAAGTAGATTGCTATTTTTTTTTATGATGATTTTTTTTTCAGCTTTGATTAAAAGTATTGGATTGAGAACGGATGGGAGAATAGATGATAGATCATTTTGGATCAGCTATGTGACTTCTCTTTCTGTTCAATTAGCAATCCCACTTGTGTATCCTAGAATGATCAGTGTTCATGACCTTATTTCAAAGGTATAGAATGAATCATTAAAAAAAAGTTGAATCTTTATATGCATAAACAAACAGATTGAGAGCTTACATTACATTACATGGGTTGGGTTGGGTTTTTATCTGGTGTTTGTGGGTCCACAGGAAACGGATGGATCTGGATCGGTTATTCCTGCACCTATACCATTATCTAGTGAACATGTGAGTGATGAAGGAATCTATCTTCTTGAAAATGGTGAAGATTGTTTAGTTTATGTTGGAAGCTCTGTTGATCCTGATGTAACACAAAAACTGTTTGGTATATCGTCTGCTGGTGAAATCCCTACTCAGGTATGTATGAATGAGGGCAAATTTGTAAATAGTGAAAGACAAGATCTTTTTCTGACTTGTGTTTGTGTGTTTAGTTTGTGTTGCAGCAGTATGAGAACCCTTTGTCAAAGAAGCTACATGAGGTCATAAACGAGATACGAAGCCAAAGATGTAACTACTTAAGGTATGTGAAGTTTTTTTTTTTTTTTTTTTTTTTTTTTGAATTGAATTGAAGAAGATAAATGATTGTTTTTTTTTTTAATGGTATTCTACTTTTTTGCAGGTTAAAATTATGCAAGAAAGGTGACCAATCAGGTCAGTTTATGACATCATTTCATGGGCGTAGCAGTTTGTTGTTGATAATCTAATTTCACTGTTTGATAAATGTCTAAAATGCCCTTGAATGTATTTCAGGAATGATGTTCTTTTCTTATATGGTGGAAGACAAGTCTCCAAATGGTTTGTCATATGTTGAGTTTCTGGTGCATGTTCATCGGCAAATTCAGAGTAAGATGCAATAGTTAATGTTGTTTGAAGAGCCACACAATCCATTTTTGTTTATGGGTTTTGGGTAGTATTTATATGGGGGCAAAATGGACAAGTTTTGAGGGATAGTTCCATCCATTTTTTTTTTTTATGGTTGAGCAAAGTTTTGTTAGTTTGATTTTTGTTTGAAGTTATTTAAAGTGTAGAGCATAAAATAAACAGATTTGATTATAATGAGATATAAGTTGTATATGAATGGAGTTTTTCTCTTCGAGTCAAGTCTCTCAAACATGTCACCATTTGAACACATCTTTAAACACAAACCAAACTTCTCCTTTTTGAAGATCTTACCTTAATTCCTTGTGATCCCTCTCCTACATCACCAACTAGCTCTCCTCATACATCATCTTCCCAACCTCCTCCTATATCACCACAAAGACCTTTTTCCCCTTCAACTCCACCTTCTAACAACTCCCCTATACCTCAGCCAGATTCACCTATTTCTCCTCCACCACGAGTCCATCCTTCAAACCTACGGCCTCATCCAAAACTAAGGATCCCCTACAATCCATCGGCCTATCACACTTCTACTGCCCTTGTAACCGAACCCACCACCTTTGTTGTTGCCAACGAAGACCCTAACTAGCGAAATGTCATGGCTGAGGAATACGTTGCATTACTTCGTAATGGTACTTGGTCTTTAATTCTGCCAATGCCAATGTAGTTGATTGTAAATAGGTGTACAAAATCAAGAGAGATCAAACATGTGGCATTAAATGTTACAAGGCTCGTTTGGTGGCTAAAGGTTTCAATCAACAACTCGGATCGGCTATCATGAAACCTTTAGTAACCATGGTTAAATTCACTATTGTTCGTGTGGTTCTCTCCCTTGTCGTCTCACAACGATGGCCGCTTGACAGTTGGATGTTTAGAATGCTTTTTTACACGGTGATCTAACTGAGACAGTTTATCTACGCCAAACTCCAGACTTGTTGATCGGCAGAAACCAAATCATGTTTGTCTCCTTCACAAGTCTTTGTATGGGCTCAAGCAGATCCCTTACGCCCGATTTCATCGCTTATCCATGGTATTACTATCTTTTTGCTTTAAAAGATCTAAAACAGATCATTCACTTTTTATCTATTCCTATAGTGCTACACTATTATATATGATGGTCTATGTTGATGATATAATTATGTCAAGTAATAATCAAATAGTCATCGATCGGATTATCAAAAATTTGAGTCGAACCTTTGTTGTTCAGGATATAGGTACTCTTTCCTACTTTCTAGGTATTGAAGTTACTCCTAAAGGCTCAAATATGTTTTTATCAGAAATATATTTTGGAGATCCTTCAAAAGGTTGGTCTCTCTCATGCCAAACCTGTCACAACACCTATCACTACAACTACAAACTTGGCTCTTGATGACGGCCCGTCTTTTGAGAATCCAGTTTGATATTGTTAGGTTGTTGGTACTCTACAGTATGCCACCTTGTCACGATCGGATATTACCTTTGCAATCAACAAAGTCTGCCAGTTTATGCACTCTCCGGCAATGAATCATTGGTCCACTGTAAAGAGGATTCTTAGGTATCTACAGTGTACAACAGATTATGGTCTTCTGTCGGCACCATCCTTACCCCCATATGAAAGATTTAGCCCTATTTATTTATAAGAGGAAAGCTCCCAGGTTCCACATCTTAAGGAAGTGCATGACCATATTGGAAGCACAAAGGTTCATTCGCAATGGGACAACTCACCCAGCCATGATGAATGACAGAAGAGATTGAGCACAAAATGGAGTTTCCCTCTTGGGCGTTTTTTAGTGCAAGAAAGGACTAACAACGATCCTATCCTAAAGGAGGAGTAGGAGCAGAGCGGAGAATCTTTTTTTATTCCAGCCGAGAAGACTAGTAAAAGGAAGGATCAAGATGACCATCGATACACCGGGGGGATACACTATCGATCTCGGTTCCAATCTGATCTCATGGTCGGCCAGGAAACAGAAGACTGTATATCAGTCATCAATAAAGTTCGAGTACAGAGTCTTAGCAGATACGGTTGCTGAAATCACTTGGCCGGAAGCTCTCCTATGTGAACTTCAAGTTCCCATGACTAAAGTTTTTGTTTTATGGTGTGATAACATAGGAACCACATTTCTGTCGTCCAATCATGCTTTCAATGCTCGCACAAAGCATGTAGAGGTGGACTTTCATTTTGTCAGAGAAAAGGTTGCCGAAAAGAAGAACTCAATTCTGTTGGGTGAAAGTCGTCAAGCATAAGGATAATGAGAAAAAAAAAAGGAATGAATGAAAAAATGACATTTAGATCGACTTTATACAATAGTTTTGTTAATAGGATTTATTCATAAATAAACGTGAATCTTAATGACCATCTAATAACTAATACGTGAAATTTTCAGAATTCACGTTAAAAATAAATCTATAGCAACAATAAAAAAAAATATTGATGTTTTACTTCAATGCGAAACGGTGAAACGCAATGTTTCAAAAAATATGGCATCGACGACAAAATCGACAACAACACATTATCTTATAAAAAAAGGTTTCAAAGCATCTTCATTAGCTTGCGACAACTTTTAATGAGTAACTCCAAGTCTCAAACAATTTTAAAAATTTAAACACTTATATTTTGATTTTGTTTTACTGTAAAAGCTTACTATTTCTTTTTTTTTTTTTTTAAAAAAAACTATACCTATAGTTTTTATAATTATCGTCTTTACAATAACTATATCATTTTTGGAATTTTATAAAAATACAATAATTATGGTTATATATAAAAATTATTGAAAAACTTTTTATAACTTTTTTAGTAATTTAAAACTAGAATATCATATTAAAAACTTGAACCTATAAATAGATGGAACAATTATAAACTTGGTTGGGTCTTATTATATACACACCATACTATTATCATATAACATTATAAACCTTTACTTTTTTCATCATTAGCTTATAATAATCATATTCATAATATGTCACTAACTTTTATACATTTTCTTAGTCTCGAGGGAGTGAAGCATATCATGTCATGCTGCCACATCATCTTTGAAACCATACAATGTTAATCATATCATTTTTGTCATACAACATAAAGGACATGAGATTTTTAAGGAATAGATCAACTTAGTAAAAAATAAAAATAAATAAACACACTCACATACATATGCTCTCTCCTCTCTCTTTCATCGACACTAACATGCAATTTTCTTTTGTCACTTTGTCATGTCATCTTTGAGGGATGGTATTTGTATGACATGTTAAGCAAATGTCCAACATTTTTGCCACCCACTCCCTCAAAGCCTTATGTGATGTTATTAAAGTAATATTTAATTGAGAATTAAGTTGAATAAATATTCTAAATATTTTATTATTTGTTTATAAAAAAAATTAAATGTTAAGCCGAAAAGTAGATATATAAATGATTATATTGTTATGAGAGATTTAATGAGAGAAAGATATTTAATGAGAGAGGATATCACCCTCCACTTTCAGGTTTACAGGAGGTTATAAACCTAGTTAGACTTAATTCTAATCAGGATACATGAACATGAGCCATTAATGCCGACAATGTTAAAAGATGTTTGAATGCTACTTGTTTGACCATATTTTGGTTTATTGGTCTTTTCGGAATAGGTTGCTTTTTAGCAACCGCAAGCCTACTAAGTCTTTAATTTGAGATTCTATTTAGTCTTAATCGTTCTTTTGGATTAGAGTTAAAAATTCTAAGTTTTGTGTTAATTGGTTAGAATCGGTGAAATGTCCTCTATGTCAAGCTTTTCATATGTAGCCCATTGCTTTTGCTAGTTCTTTTAATGTTAATGCTCCTTTCCAAAAAAATTCTATAAACCTCCAATCAGAAATGTTAAAATTTAGAATCAAGTGTCATGAAAGGTGGTGTATAAAAAAAATCTCCTGCTTATTACTTGATGAACTATCCTTCCTCTTTACGGCTTTTTGTTTTGAACTTTTTAACATCATTTTTTTTAGGGAATATGACTTATCAAGGTAATTAATTTTTCGGTATGTTCACATCTGGGTAACTATCTTTTTTTTTGTACATATATAGGTAACAAAATTTTTGGAAGTGTTTACATATGACCATTATTACCTGCTATAGCAGGTTAAATCCTAGATGTGAACGCTTTCAACAAATTTGTTACCTAGATGTGTACAAAAAAATAGTTACCCAAATATGAACAAAACGAAAAGTAAAAATTAAATTACATGAATAGTCCTTGTGGTTTGGGGGAATTTGTGGTTTTAGTCGCTAATTTATTTTTTTAACTTAAATGGTATCTACTGTTTATTTTTGTTGCGTGTTTGGTCCTCGTCTTACCTAAAAATACTATTGTGCCCTTATTAATTTATTTTTTAAGTAATTTTCTTATCTATGTATTTATTTTTTACATATTTATAAAAATTAATAGACCACACATATTTGTATCTCCTCGGATGATCCCTACTATTTATTTTTTAATTAATTTAATTTTTTAACTCGGATGATCCATACTATTTAATTTTGTTACGAACTTGGTCTCTGTCTTACCTAAAAAAACTATTGTGTCCTTATTAATTTTTTTTTAATTAGTTTTCTTGTTTATGTACTTATGCTTTATATGTTTAAAAAAACTTAGTAGACCTCACATATATGTATCTCCTCACCATCCCATCTTTCATCATTCTCAACTTCTATTTATTTTTCATCTTTAGTGATATTGACGTCTTCATCATCACTTCTTTTTTCGGTCATTCAACTCCGTCGAATGAACACCACAACCCATTAGAGATGAAGAGACAGTAGGTTATGGTGTTGGTTCGTCATAGTTGAAGTACCAAAAAAAAGAAAGACGTTGAAGACGTCGATGTTACTAAAGATGGAAAAGAAATAGAGGATTGGGAGGATCAGAGATAAGATAGTGAATGGTAAGACTCAAATTAAATTTCTCAAATGTGGTTTCAGGTTTACGGTGATGAGACACATATATGTGGGGTATATTAATTTTTTTTATAAAAAATAAATACATAAATAAGAAAATTAATTAAAAAAATTAATAAGGGAAAAATAGTATTTTTAGATAAGACAGAGACCAAACGCGTAACAAAAATAACAGTAAGGATCATCCGAGTTAAAAAAAAATAAATTAATTAAAAATAAACAGTAGAGATCATCCAAGGAGATACAACTATGTGTGGTCTATTAATTTTTTTTAAATATATAAAAAATAAATACATAGATAATAAAATTAATTAAAAAAATAAATTAATAAGGGCACAATAGTATTTTTAGGTAAGATGGGGACCAAACACGCAACAAAAATAAACAGTAGATACCATTTAAGTTAAAAAAATAAATTAGCGATCAAAACCACAAATTCCCCCAAACCACAGGGACTATTCATGTAATTTAATTTTTAATTTTGGTTTTGTTCATATTTGGGTAACTATTTTTTTTGTACACATCTAGGTAACAAACTTGTTGAAAACGTTCACATCTAGGATTTAACCTGTTATAGCAGGTCATAATGGTCATATGTGAACACTTTCAAAAAGTTTGTTACCTAGATATATACAAAAAAAAGATAATTACCCAAATGTGAACATACCGAAAAATTAATTACCTTGATAAATCATATTCCCCTTTTTTTTTTAATATATATTTTATGTTTTGACCGCCAAACAATTTTTAGTGAAGGATATTTTTGACATTTTTCTTGTATATTATATTATTATTATCTGATTCACATATACAGAAACATTTCTTTTGACTAAATACATCCATGTCTTATAGTTATTGCATTAAACGAAGAGAATGAGCTTTATGTATTCAGACATTAGGGGCTAGAGATGTCTAATTTTTTCAAAAAATTTACAACCTTTGGTTTATAGATATGTCATTCCGTTTCATTTCATTCCAACCAATCACATTCCGATTCATGCTGTGACATTCTATTCATTTCATTTCAAAAACATTCTAAGAAGCAAACAACCTCTTAGTGAAACAAGTTTGACTTTGAACTTAAACAAAATTTTGGTAGATTGATTCTCGAATCTCAAGCTCTGGTTTCTTTTGGTTTTCTAATACAAAATTAACAAAATTTCTCAAAACCAAATCTTACTTTCCTTTTTTGCTAACAAAAGGCTGCAAAGCAATTGGCAATTCATTCACCTCAGTAATCCTCTTCTGCTTCTTCTTATTATCCCTTCCTTCATTCTCCTCAACAAAACCCCTCTTTGCATTCTCAATCCCCTCCTGTTTCTTCCTCGCCACCTTACTCGGCTTACTCCTCCCTTTCGTCTTCTTCTTCACCGCCACATTCTTAGCGGCAGCCACCGCTGCCGCCTTCTCCTCCTCCACTTCCGCCTTCGTCTTCTTCTCCTTCCTCTTCACCTCCCTCATATTCCCAACCTTCGTGGGGTCCAGCATCACCGATTCCGGCGGCAGTTTATCAAGCAACACCCTCACCTCCTTCTCCCGCCTCTCCTTCACCGTCTCAAACGGATTCGCCACCCACGAATCAAAGTTCGGTTCCCCGGAGCCCGGAACCAGAATCGAGGAGAATCCCATGGAATGTCCGATTCCGAGCACGTCTTCGTAAGGTCGGAATTGGATTCTATTGATTTGGTAACCTTTCGCCATTGTATGAATCATGTATCGATTGTAATTTGAAGAATCTGAAGTCTGTAGAATCTGTGTGAATGAACCTGTGGAAGCTGCAAGGAGGCCTTTTTGGCTGAAACTTAGGGTTTTAGCATTTCCAGGGAGAGTTTGTAGGGTTTTGTAGGTTCTTAAATCCCAGATTTTGATTTTCTTGTCCATTCCGGAGGTGGCCATGAGGTGGCCGTTTGGGTGGAAGGAGATGGCGGTGACCGGGCCATGGTGGCAGAGGATTTTGATCAGCGGGGTGGAGGTGGTGGGCTTCCACATGCAGACTGTGCCGCCCGAGTGGCCGGAGGTGATGACACTGTTGTAGGGGTTTAGTTGTAAAACGTCCGACCGACCAAGGGCAGTTCGGTAATTTCCCACTATTTGGCCGGTGGTGATGTCTTGGTAGCGGAGGTGACTGGATTTGTTTATGGATGATAGAAGGAAGTGGTTTTTGAGAAATTGAAGCTTCAACACTGCTCCATGTTCCTAAACAACAAATTTTTTTTAAAAAAAAACATAATTTAAAAATCAATCCAATTAAAGGAGTGAAAGTATGTTGCTATTTTTTGAATTATGAAAATTTTAAAATTTATGAATGGTGGGACCGACCTTCAGGCAATGAAGTTCCGTGCCAGCACGGTTGTAAATATATGTGTATCTGTATATAATTTTTAAAAAAAAATAATAATCATTTACTCGATATATAAAATAAGAAAGATTTTCCAATTTATAACTTAATTTACTAGAAGGAAAAGAATCTTTACTTCTTTTGTGCTGCAGCAAAGAACAATTCATTGTGCAAAAACACCGCATCTCGCACAGTTTCTCTAACCTGAAACAATCAACAACTCAAATTCTTAACTAATTGCAACAAAATAAGTAGATAAAGGTCTTTAAATCATGAACATTTTAAGGAATAGAATCCCAATTATCATTAGAGTAAATTACACGAATGGTCCCTATGGTTTGGGTAATTTGCACGTTTGGTCCCTAACTTACTTTTTTAACTCGGAAGGTCCTTACTGTTTGTTTTTGTTACGTGTTTGGTCCCTTCTATTTGTTTTTGTTACGCGTTTGGTCCCTATCTTACCTAAAAAGACTATTATTTGATTAGGGAAAGATGATGGGATAGGTAGGGTAAGGTGAGTGGAGTGGGGTTGAGAGTATGTTTATTTAAATAAATTAAAAAATCAAGGGCAAAATAGTCTTTTTAGGTAAGATAGGGACCAAGCGTGTAACAAAAACAAACAGTAGGGACTTTCCGAGTTAAAAAAATAAGTTAGGGACCAAACGTGCAAATTATCCTAAACCATAGGGACCATTCGTGTAATTTACTCTTATCATTAATAAGATACACCAATAAGAAAAAAACTGTTTTCAAGTAGAAGAAGTATTAAGGTTTCAAAGTGTAAATCTAATTACCTGAAAGTCCTTAACAGGTTTCAAAGTATGCATGTCCATAATCGCCAGGTGGCCTTTTCGTCCAGCTGTCAACATATATCTCCCACTTGAGGTGTAATCAATGGTGTAAGGACCAAGATCTGTTCAACCACATTCAGTTTGTAACATAAGAAAGCTCATTTCAGCTTTTTGGAATATGTGCAGAATGTTTTTAAATACTTGAGCATTAGATTCAAAACAAGATGATGAATGATGAATGAAGGTAGGAACCTGGTAAGATGATATCAAATTGATTCTTTCTACTAGCAACATCCACTTCCTGAGCAATAGACTGTTGACTAAACCTCCATGTTTTTTCAATACCTTCAGGTTCCAGAAGGCCACTCTCAGTTTGCATAAGCCACTGATGTAAAAACAAATAAACACATAAACACATTGAAGAAAACCAAAAGTGTAAAAACAGCAATGAAACTCCACCTTCTCAGCTTTAGCAGCAGCATTAGCAGACTTTTTATATAATTCTTCTCTGTTAGCAAGTTGGCCTTTCAATTTTTTGTCTTTCAAACCCTGTCAAAAATCAGGAATGATTCAGATTGAAATGTTAACAAAGCTGAATGTGTTGTGGTATCAATCAGTACCTCTAAATCAGCACTTTCACCTCTCTGGTATTTTTTAACTTTCACATCAATGTCATCCGAAAAATCCTGAAATCAAAGTAAGTATCCACATGCTAAGTAGATAGAATTCGTATTATTAATTTGTATTGATATTAATAGAAGCATGTGTAACACACACACACACACACAGAGGAATACAACACGATAAAAATTGGGATACTTGCCTGTATCTCCATGTTCTTATGAAAGTTGACCAGGTGGCTGTGAGCTTTGGGGGAGACAGCGTCTGGTGCTTGCGACCTCTGAATTGCTGTGATGAATTATTAAAATGACCATTTTACCCTTTTGTTTTGTCATGGCAGGTTTTATGGAGACAATAAAGGAGTAGTTTGTTATTTTTTATTGTATTTAGCATGTAGTCTGTAAATAGGTTAGATAGTTTTCATTAAATGTGTAATCAGTTTTCTTTCTTGAAAGTAATATAGCAGTGAGAAAACCTAATAACCTTGAGCAATATAAGAGAGTCGTTATCAGGGTGTGTATGTTCTGGGGTCGTTTGCAGCTGGGTTAAAGGAAGGTTGATTGCCAACAATTTCAACGTTTCAGCATAACACAAATCTGATTTCAGCAAATCATACCAATTCTTTACAAATATCATATCCATTGAACACATGATAATCGAACATAAAAGCAGAAAACAGATTTGAACATAAAAAATCGACAAAGTCAGAACAAAAAAATAACCTGATTTGAACATAAAAACAGAAAAAGTTATCGATTTGAACTCGAGTTTGAAGAGAATTCGATATTCAGATGAAGAAGAGAAAGCTGAATTCGTTTATTTCAGACAACCCATTCATAAAAACAGAAAAAAAAAAAAAAAAAATCGAGTTTCTGGGGGAAAGAAGGAAGAAACGAACCTGGTTTGTCGGAGTCGGCAATGTCGTTTAAGATGGCGGCGGCGGCGTCGTTGCAGGCGTCGTCGGAGGAGGATAAGTGGTGAAGGGAAGAGGAACGCCCAACGAAGATGGAGGAGAAGAGGAGGCGCTGTTTTGGTGAAGGCTCTCGATCATTTAGGGCACAATAAACGTGTGTTTTTTTAAAAAAAATTGAGACTTTGTTTAATATCTCAAAAATTAAGTGGCATCTACACTTGACAAAACTGCACAAATGGTTTGATGTCGAGTAAAATTTATCATTTTGATCCAAAAAATATTTAAACTATCAGATGTTCAAATTTTTTATTTTATCGTAAGTTTAATCCAATTTGTTTTGAATTATTTTATGATTTTATCTTGATTTTACCCTTAACTTTTATTTTTTAATTTTATTTATTTATTTAAATATTTAACTGATTAAAAAAATAAAAAAAAATTTAAAAGTAAAAACAAAATACACACACTCTCTCTCTCTCCCTCTCTCTCTCTCCCCATAAACGACACTTCGTTTTTTCCTGAAACCCAAAAGGAGGAAGCAACCTCCATCACCCACTTATCGGTTTTATTTTTTTAATTTTATTTATTTATTTAAATATTTAACTGATTAAAAAAATAAAAAAGAATTTAAAAATAAAGAAAAAACTCTCTCTCTCTCGCCATAAACGACACTTCGTTTTTTCCTAAAACCCAAAAGGAGGAAGCAGCCTCCATCACCCACTCATCGGAGAAACAACATCCAAACATCCCTCGTTGCTGCTTTATTCCCTGACCACCAACGACACCAAGAAATACCCCATCACCACCGAGGACCACCTTTACCGATCAAAACCAACCCAACTCCCTCACCAGTGGCGAGGGAATGGAGGGGCTGTCGGATGCCTAGCCCCCTCCAATATAAATATTTGTTTGATATATATACTCAAAGCACAATAGATAACCGTCTAATTTATAAGACCATATAATAATATAAACTGTTTAAATTGAAAAGCCCCCCTTATGATTTGTTAATCTAATAAATTATAACCACAAAATCCCAAGTAATATCTTATTTTAATTTAATTAGCATAAGTACATAACTGGCGGTTGTTGGGTTTAGAATTAAACCTAACCACATCTCCATTTAATCAAACGAGGAGTTTGAAGACTGGTCTCTTGCTTTTTCTACTGCTATGGTAATTAATCAAGGTAACATTTAATTTTTATTACATCTAGTTTTTTTAGTAATTTGTAATTGATAATAATTTCAATTAGTAAGTAGCCCTTTGTTTATAAATAATATTTTTAATAGATTATTCATCAAGAGTTCAAGGCAATTTGTAGTTATTTTTATTCATTGAGGAGGTTAACTTCTAGTTAATAAATTATTTTCAACTATACTTTTGAAGATTAGGTTAACAGAGACAAATTTTTAATTCTTTGCGATTTTTTCTTTTAAAATTGTGGACCTATCATTTTATTTGTATATAACATTATGTTTTAATATATTATTATGATACAATGTTGCATTCATAGTTACATTTATTCGTTGAGGAGTTTAATTTTCAAATAACAAATTGTTTCCAACTATATTTTTTGAAGATTTAGGTTAACGGAGAAAAAAAATTAATTTTTTGTGATTTTTTCTTTTAAAATTATAGACCTATTATTTTATTCGTATATAACATTGTGTTTTAATATATTATTGTGATGCAAGGCTTTCAGACCCCTTTATTTTTAAATCCTGGCTCCGCCCCTGTCCCTCACTGCCTTTATCGATCAAACCCAACCAAACTCCCTTCCCTTCTCTTCGTTCGGAAGGAAAGCAAAACAGGAGGCAACAAGGACAGCAACGAGGACGAAACGAGAAGGCCATAAAACGTCTGTATATAAATCGTAGTATCTATAGAATCCTAACAAATTTACTGGTTCATAAAACGTTGAAAGCTAATATTAAAATTAAGAACCTTTAGCTAACTATAAGCCAAAACATAATAAATATACCAGTGAATGTGAATACTGATTAGCAAGTTAGAGAGATCATCGGCGAGGTAGTGTGACAGATTTTAACTCCGGGGAGACGGTGGCAAGGCAACAACCTGCTTCATTTTTCTTGGGATATATATATATATATATATATATATATATATATATATATATATATATATATATATATATATATATATATATGGACCCACCTCTTAGTAGGGTCTAAACACCCCACTACTTGTACATTACATCCGCCATTAGATAGAGTACCGGGTACGAGTGGACACACCGTGTGTGAGGCACCAACAAATTCAACCCTCATGTGGATTGTGGAGTCAGTCCCGTTACTTAAGGGAAAAACCATTTAAGAGAATATCATATCATTTTTCTTCTTCTTTTACATTGTACCTTATGAATCGTTAGTTGTACCTAAATATGAGAGGTGTAAGAGATGATAATTTGCATGTGTTTAAAGAAATAAGTGAAATAACGAGAACAAAAAGAAAAATGTGGAGATAATATGATTTCACGAAAGGTAGGGATGACACATATGGATATCCACCGTCCTAAGGGTTTGTTTTGTTTTCCTTTGGCCACCTCCAACAAATTTCATTCGTAATGGAGCAAATTTCATAAAAAATTTTATATAATAATGGAGCAAATTTCACAATAGGGATGAGAATTTGGTCCGAAAACCTGAACCGAACCGATACCCGAACATAATCGAATCGAATTAGGCCCGAATAAGCAATTCGATTCGGTTCTCGAGTATCTATATTAGGCTTATTCGGTTCTCAAGTTATTCGGTCTGGTTTACCTAGATAAGGGCTTATTCGGTTCTAAATACCCAACTCAGAATTGAAAAGTCATTTTTTTAATCGTATTTTTCTTGCTACATCAAATGACATACATCTAGTCGATCCGGTCGTGTTTCTCCTTGTCCCTCCTTCGGTGATTGAGTCATACATTCAAAAAAAAAAAAAAAACTATTGCATTTTATTACCGAAGTCGACTTCATACTCAATTGAACTACACAAATTCTAACCGTTTTTTGCCCCTTTCAAACAATTATATATACTTTGCATTATTTTTAATTATCAAATTTGTTTCTTTAAAAGATTTGTTATGGAATCATTAACTACAAAAATCATAAAAAAAAAATATAATGTTTATAATCATATTGTAAATAGTATTCAGGTTATAGATTCTTTTCGGATATATTAGGTCCTTAATTATCTTGTACGTGTTATTCGGGTAATAACCGAACCGAACCAAACTCGTATTAGTTAGTTGGCCCGGTTTTTGGTTCATGCAATTACCATTATTCGGTTTTCAGGTTATTCAGGTTCGAATCGGTTCGATCAGGTTCCAATCCGAATAACAACCTAGTTTACAAAAAAACATAAAGAAATCGATCATAAATATTGAACGTGTAAAAAAAATGAAGATACCAGTTATAAAGATTGAATGCGTATATACATATTAATGATTAAATGTGTGTAAAATGAAAATTATATTATCATATTAAATCATTTTTTTCAGATTAACCTTGACCGAATGTGTATAAAAAACAAGTTAAATGGACAAAATAAATCAATAACTAAATTATACAAAATAAAAAGTATATCACCTCTATTAAGTTTTCATTTTTTATTAATCACCGAAAAGTTTCCTTTGGCTTCTAATAATGAAACTAGAATAAAGAATACCTATACGATATCAAATATTTTGAAGTTTCAAAACAGGTCCTGTTGTTTGTCTATTTACATTCAAAATCTATCCTGTATTTCAAGTTATAACCTTTCTGCCCCTGCTTATTTTTCTTTCATTTCAGTTATTTTTTAACTTCGACTTAGTAGTGATTTCAATTTTCCTAATGTTAAGTATACAACTTTACAGAATTTGCTTGATGGCCCTTCAAGTCTTGAAAAATTATGATGATGCACAAACTTTCAAAGAAAAAGTTGCACCAAAACTACTACTTTATAAAAACCGGCCCAATCTCTCATTTGCTGCTATTATGTGTATATTTACAAATATACCAAGGAAACAAATTCCTAGTACAATGTAACATTTTATCTATACATTTCACATACAGCAATTTGCCCGCCAAAACAACACTGAAAAAAAAAAGTCAATCAAACCCAAAAAAAAAGTCAACGTGACCGTGACAATAACCTCAAAACTTCACCATAATCGCTCATACTCCCACTCGAAAACCTCTTCATTCTTTCCCATAACTGCAATCGTCTCCTGGGCCTCAATGGGCCCGAACTCGAGCTTATCCTATACGAATCTACATCAAGCCCGAGTCCCGAAAACCCTCTCTCCACATCTAACGGGCTCTCATAGCCCGTATAGTTGGAACGGTTCGGGCCTGATTCAGGCCCGGCCCGTTGGTCATACTCCATGGATGCTAAATCCTCTTGGCTACAACTCCTTGACCCCAAATCTTGTGTCTCTTCACACTCATTACACACCAATTTCAAAGCCTGAACCACCTCACCCATAAAAGGTCGGTGAGACACCTCGGGTTGCACACACATGGAAGCGATTGCAGCCACTTTGGCTATACTATCAAACGGGACTTCTGGGCTCAATGACGGGTCGATCAACAAGTTTAACCCTTCTGGGCTCGGGAGTAAGGGTCGGGCCCACGCAACTAGGTTTTCTTGGCCCGATGGCATTGACATGTCAACGGGCTTTCTTCCGGTTAGTAGCTCGAGAAGTACCACACCGTAGCTATAAACATCACTCTTTACAAGAAGATGGCCCGTCATCGCGTATTCGGGGGCCACGTATCTAAAAAAAAAATCAAGAAATTTGTATGATTTGGAGTGTGAAGTGTTTTTTTTTTTTGGAGGGAAAGAAATCAAAGGATGTAATGTACCCGAATGTGCCCATGACACGGGTGGAAATGTGTCGGTTTTCTTCATCTAAAGCGGTTCGGGCCAACCCGAAATCGGAAACTTTTGGAGTGAAGTCGTCTTCTAAGAGAATGTTGCTAGATTTGAAGTCGCGGTGTATGACTCTTGGGCTTGAGTCTTCGTGCAAGTAAGCTAGTCCACGGGCTGCACCGAGGGCTATCTTTAACCGGGCCCCCCAATCCAAGGGTGAGGTTTCCTTGTCAATTCCTGAAACAACCAAAGTTTACAATCTCCATAAACAAAAATAGAGCACAAAAAGTCAACCATTTTGAGTTTCCAAAGTCGATTAAAATATTTTTTTGGCTTAGATGATGTTTGACATTTGTTATGTAGCAGATGATATGACAAGACAAGTTGTACTGAGATGAGACTAATGTCGATGGAACAAAATTTGTAATTTTTTGTCTTATCACAAAACATGGAAGACATGACATGACATGACACAACATGTTATACTGTTGTCTAAAAAGATGGAAGACATGACATGACATGACAATAACAGAAGCTTTTAGGATGTCGACGGGACAAAAACTACAATTTTTTTGTCCCATTCAAAAAGGTGAAAGAAAGGACATGACAAAACACATTATACTGCGTTTGTCACACATTGCACCGGAACCAAAGTCAACAAGACAAAAACTGCAATTTTTTGTCTCGCCCAAAAAGACACCGCATAGACTCGCTCTTTTCTCGTCCATTTAAAAGACATAAATACCCTTCTCACACTGCTCATCTTAAAAATATATCATAGCTATACCAAAAATATATCATAGCTATACCATGAAGATGAGATTCAACGCTGCCATTTGGGATGAGCTCATAAACCAAACACCGGTTTTTTTCCTCAGTACAAATACCGATCAACCGAACCAAGTTTCTATGATGCAAGCGGCTAAGCATCTCCACTTCAGCCAAGAATTCCCGACCTCCTTGTTGATCATCTCTCTTAAGCACTTTAACTGCAACTTTTGTTCCATCTTCAAGAACACCACTATACACACGTCCAAATCCACCTTCACCAAGAACTCCCAATTCATTGAAGTTATCCGTTGCTTTCTCCATCTCACTTGAACTAAATGTCTTTGCGGATCCCGTGTATGCTATACTAGAACGGAACGATAGTGAATTTGACTCAGGCCCACTTCCGATCGATGCACCCATCCCTACAATACAAGTTTTAGATATATGAAAATGAGGTGTTGTTTCTTTTCAACTTCATCTGATAAGCTATATATAAGTGTTTCTTTTTTACTTTATGTAGAAAGAACGAGTTGATGGAGAAAGTCTTTCTCCATCAAGTCGGAACTTTTTCACAAATTTCCCCTTGTGCATGTTTTTTCATATATTTTTAAACATTATTTATCTAGTCAAAGCTCCCACATTTGTGTACATGTATGTATGTATATGTATGTATAGCCACCCTTATATTTTGACTTTTAGGGGGTCAAATAATTGAAAAACCAATATGAACTTTATTATTGAAATTTAGGGAAAACAACTATGCAGGCTACCAAACTATTATAAAAGTTCCGTTTAGGTCATCGAACTATAAAAAACTACAAACGAGAAACTGCACAATGGGGTTCATCAACACCAAATCCTCCCAAAAATGACAAAAATAGCCCCAAACTATGGGCTAGTTTTCGTTTAGTGACTTAAGTTCAAAACTGAATTGAAGGGTATAAAGTCCAATTTACCACTTTCTAGTGTAATTTCTGCCAGATTTGGTGTAAATAAAGCCATTTACATAGTTTGGTGTACTCGAAGCTCAAGGGTATAATAGTCATTTCACCATTTTTCAGTATAATTTCACCCAGATTTGGTGTAAATGAACCCGAATACATAGTTCGGTGTACTTTCATATTTTTATCCCAAAAAAAAACCCTTCTTCAATAGTTAGAGTGACATCCGTAATCACTAAAACTTTTATTTAAATTTCAAGTTACCTGATGATTTTGTGACAGAAGGCAAAGTAGCCGGTGGGTTTGACCCTGACTGAGTCCTGATCCTATCTTTAAACAACAAAACCCAAACCACAACACTAACTAGAACCACAGCTACAACCACTGAGAAAGCTATTATAGCAATCAAACCACTATTCAGCTTATTGCTACGCCTCTGTTTACTCACATCAACACCCAATGGTTTCACATCCCTTCCATTGTTTCCATGACCATATGGTTCACCATTATAGCTTGAAGATGGCAAAGGTGGTGATGGAGGAAGCCCTGAAAAAAAAAATAAGTTCTCCAAGATAAGCACTTTGACTTTTCAGGTCAAACAAACTCATTATCATCACTTCATATACCTGGATATTTCACGAAAAGAACTTCATAATCGCCAAAAAGCGAGGACTTAATTGGAACTTGTTTCATCCATAATCTTTGAGCCACAACATATGCTGTATAATTTTCAAAAATTTCACCAAGGGGTACTA